TTTGGTTTTTCGAGACAGGGTTTCTCTGTGTAGCTTTGCGCCTTTCCTGGAACTCACTTGGTAGCCCAGGCTGGCCTCGAACTCACAAAGATCCATCTGCCTCTGCCTCCCAAGTGCTGGGATTAAAGGCTTGCGCCACCACCGCCGGGCTTTTGTTTGGCTTTTCAAGAAAGGAGTTCTCTGTGCCTCTGTTCTGGTCCTCACTCTGTAGACCAAGCTGGTCTTGAACTGAGATCCGCCCGCCTCTGCCTCCAGAGTGCTGGGATTAAGTTTGTGCACCACCGCTGCTGGCCTTGTCTTTTGTTTTTAAAGAAATTAAGAGGAGTGATGGTGTGGCTCAGTGGTGCAACACCTGAATGTTGGAGGCCTTGGGTTTGATCCCTCACACAATCAAAACAAACAAACAAACAAGCTAGAAATTGTGTCACAGTTATTGTTCCACTGGCCTCCTCAGCCCTATGTCTAGGTAACCCAAATATAGGGGTCCTTAGACACCCGCCCCAAGAAAGGGGCCAGGTCTGACAGGCAGTATCTAGGAGGTTGAAAGGGATGCGGGGAGAAATGCATCTTTGTTGCAGACCCATGTGGGGCTCTTTATGTAAATGGTTTCGGTGCCTAATGGGAAGAAGAAAAATGAGGCTTTGATGTGAGCCTCAGCATTTTTGTCAGACCGGTACAGTGTCACTCAGGCTTCGGGGTGGCCTGCTTCTATTAAAGAGCTGTCAGTGCTCTCAGGCCACAGCCCAGGGGCCTCTCTGGGTAAGGGTGTTCCAGAGCTGTCTACAGAATGCTGGTGGGAGAATGAGTGTGGGAGCTGTGTTGGGAATGTCAGCCCAGCCTGGCCCCACTGTGAGCCTGAGTTTCCTAAGCCCCAGAGCTGTGGGCCACACCCCAATAAAATCAGAATGCCTGGGAAGAAGGAGATGGAGACAGGTGAGGGCCATCATGGCTGGCTGGACAGCATGGCACACAGTGGGACAAATTCCTTCCCCCAGCAGGTCCAAGTCCAAATACAGGGGAGGATCCTGCCGTTCCCACAGGCCTGTACAATCCAGGAGGCTTGCTTATGTATTGTGGAGGGATCCTCACGTCCCAAGGAACCTTCTAAATCAACAAAGAATGACAGAGAGGCCAGACCACCAAAGGCTAAAACTGGCACATTATGCTCTTGGTCTAGGAGGATGTGTGATTCCTACATGGTATCTATGGCAACGTTCTATTAACCAGAATTTGGTTACACCAGCTCTTGTCCCCATTCATTCTAGAAAACACAGAACTACTGATCTTTTTAGAAGTCTTGCTGGAAAAATAGGGGGAAGAATAGTAGTCACCTCCATCCTCTTAGATGAGAAGACATTGATGTCAACTTTTATTGTCACAAAATTGGGATTGTGTTGAGTACCTGATTCTGTCCCTTTTTCAGTGTATATCAGATCTTGAGCATTTGTCTAAAACAAGAAAAGCTCCTTGGAAGCAGTGCTACTGTGGGCTAGGATTTGGAGGACCTGCTGTGCTGTGTGATCTTGTAGGAGTCAGTTGATTTCTCTGAGTCTTGATTCTTGCCTCTGTGCAGGGAGAGAGACGGACAGTCATTCCTCAGGTTCTGCTTCAAGGATGTGGATATGTTGCCTATCTCAGAGACCTGATTGTTACAGCTTTGCCCTCCTCAGATGAAAGAAAGCCTAGTGATGTTTGTGGCAGGTCAGGCACTGGACAACACTTACTGAGTATGTAGTCAGTGGGATACCAAGGACCTGGCTGGTACTGCCCCCAGCAAGCATGTTCCCACCTCTTGGCCAAGGGCTTTGCACCTCTGAACCCTGGGCTTTGCATCTCTGAACCCTACCCCTAACCCAGCCTCAAAGTCTGGTGGCTATCTGCCGGTTGCCTTCGTGGAAGTATGTGCTTTGCAGCTAGTAACTCTTTGGTGAAGGGAGCATCTGTTGGTGTCAGCGCGATGGGGTGGGGCCTGGGCTTAGCTGGCCACAGGTGTGGGTAAGCATTAACTCTTGGTCCTACTACAGTGCTCAGCAGGACTCCGGGGACTCAGGACACTTCCCATCTGTGTCCTGACCTCTCCTTACCAGGGCCCATATACAGAGCTGTTGATGGTATACCTCTGCCATCACTGATGAAATCTCACTGTGTTCAGCAAGGGCTTCACACATCACAAAGCTTCCCTGACTCTGGCAGCAGAATTCCATGAAGTTTCCCACAGCTCTGTCTTCCTGGAGTCCTGTACAGAGAACTTTACCCTCAGGAGGTCAGGTGCTTATCAGGGTCACATGGAATAAGGATCCGGTCGGCCATTTCAGAACTCCTGGCCACACATTCTGAAGAGGTGTGGGATGATAGGGTTGAAACAGAGTTAAAGGTCACCCCTTGGGCTATAGACATAAGAAAAGGAGGCATATACAATAGGGACACTGTTTCTTAGTCTTCTTGGGCTAGGTGGGTAGTGCCAGGCGATGAAGACAGGCAAGATATTTTGGTACTCATCAATGAGGGAGATGGAAGGACAGGGCCAGGCCACCTAGTATTCAGAAGGCTGGAGGATGGTGCTGAGCAGTTTGAGGGGCAGCTGTGTGTGCCAGAGGGACTTAGAGCACACAGAGGGCAGGACTCTGAGAGACAGGCAGCTCAGCAGGAAAGGGGCTAAAGGAAGCCGGCTCTTCAGTGTGCACAGGAGCCCTCGGCTGTGTGCTGTGGCCTCCTCAGAATCTGGAGCAAAGCTCCTTCCTTTCCTATTGGGCCACCCCAGGGTTGAGGGCCTAAGCCTCGAAGTAGAAGTGAACAGGCGGCTGTCCCTCTAAAAGGAGAAGACAAAGCAGGCCTCTGCTTTTTTCAATATTCCAGTCAACTTTCAAGGGCCGGCTCTGGCCAAATGTGACCTGCTTCATCTCCCTTGTGTCCTCAACATGGTGCACCAAGGGACTATTGCTGAGAGATGGGGACATCGAGGACTGAGGGGCACAGGGTCCCATTTAGGGCATGTAGAAAGCTGGCACTTGGTGGGGCACAGGATATGAGTTTGTAGGGGTCTAGGAGAGGTTTATGCAAATGCAAAGGGAAGAATTGATTCCCGCCAAGGAAGCTGGGAAAGGTTGACCTGGTATCTACTGAAGTACAGGGCAGCTGCAGCCCAGGAGGTCTTGGGCTGGAGGTACAGTATACTAAGTGGGGGTGGGGTAGGGTGGGGTGGGGAGCCATTAAAGGCTTTATAGTAATAAAGCACCACGAACCTTTTATGGGGTCACCGGGACAGAGGCTGGAGACCAGGGGAGCCCTCTGGGATGTAGGCATAGAATCCGTGGTGGCTCGGCATGTGGCGTGCTCTGTACTGTGGAGTGAGGCTGGAGGGACCTTGCAGGGGAATCCAGGTAAATGGTTGTGGGAGAGAATCCATGGAGTGGAGAGACTTGAAGATGCCATGGATACACTAGATCCCAATCAAAAGATTGGAGAATAAGAAGAGAGATGGGACCAGGGGTCTTTGTCCTCAGAAAGGGGCCTAGGTTCAGGGAAGAAATCAGTCACACAGACGGGCCAAAGGAGGGAACAGAGGGGAAACAGAATTAGTGCAGAGATGGGGCAAGGCTCACCAGTCCATCCATCCAGGCCGCCAACTGTGGGATCTGCCTTGGGAACAGGCCAACATAACCTGTGATGGAAGGGGGAAGGAGTTGGTATCAGGAGAGCTTGTGGACTGGCCTGAGTGAGGCCTCCAGACAAGGTCTGGGGCTCAGGATTCTTCTCTACCAGCCAGGAGGGAACAGCCTGTCTCCCAAAGAGCTTTGGGGCAGCTAGGCCTCAAGGACAAAGGCAGGCGGGGGCAGGGGATGGAGCCTGTAGCTGTGAGCTTAATGGCCCCGGAAAGGGGAAAAAAAAAAAAACCATAAAGCTGCAGAATTACGGGGAGACATAAACAGAGCTGTCAGGCATTAGCTGCAGGGAGACGGCTGAGCAGGGTAGAGCTGCGATCCTTGTGTGTGCATAAAAAGACAGAAGTTATCAAAGGAACCAGATTAAGGAGCTGCTGCTGTCTATGCCATACTCAGGCTCCCTGGCAGATTCCTTTCTTATGCCTCAGCCTGCCGGCTCTGGTCACAGGCTCTGGTCACATGCTGACCCAGAGGCTGGATCTCAAGGATTGGCCAGGGCAGGGGGCAGAGCTGCCAGTGATATTGAATGTCTGAGTGGAAAGGGTACCCAGCCCTGCTTGCAGAGGGTGGGAGCCAGGGCTAAGGAGGGAGGCGGTGCTGACCCTGACAGTTGATGGCGCTCATACACCCTACCACCTTCATTTTTGCTGTTGTTGCTGATGACGTTAGCTAAACACTAATGGGCTTAAAGTCCATCTTAAACCATCCCCATAGTCCACAGCAGATGACAACCACTCTCTCCCGAGCCGCAGAGATACTAGCCTAGGAGTAGGCATGCGCCTCTGCCTGTGCAGAGGAAGCTCCCAACGGTCCGAGTCTTTGACACTCCCAGGTTGCAGAAGGGGTTCCTGGTGTGGTCCCAAGTGAGGACACGGTTCTGAAGAGGGTCTTTGGAGTACCTAATATGCAGACGGGAGCCTAGCCTGGGGGTTCTGGAGCCCCTCTTGAGTTCCTCAGCCCAGGCACCAAGATGAGGGTCTGGGAACTCTGTTGCCGTGTTCTTAAAAACTTTAGGGAATCATGTTTTTCACAGGCTAAGAAAAATATCGATGGCTTTGCTCGAGGGTGGAACTTCACCCATCTACCTATCCACTCATTCATTTGACAAACATAAGGCCCTCCACAGCCTGATTCCCTTCTGCCCCAACTCACACATGTCCATCAGAAGCTTGATCTCTGCCTTTGAATCTTTTAGGACAGCAAGTGGGCATCTCTAAATGCAGTTGTGTGCGAGGGGATCTTTTGTTGGTGGAGGTTCTGAAGGTTGTGAGGGGGAAATGGACAAGGAGCCCTGGAGGCTGTGTGCACCTGGAGCCCATCTAGTATGTAAGGAAGACAAGCATGTCTGAAGAGGAGGGTACCAAACATGCAGAGCCTCCACAGAGGATATGTGGCATTTCCAGTTCCCCGTTTACCTTTGCATGGGTCCACAGCCATCACTTGGGGATGCCCTTCCTTCACAGCATAGCTGGGGCTTATCTGTCCTTAAAGCTCCCCAGAGGGCTGGCACACATAGCTGCCCATCATCTAAGGGAACCTCATTCCTTTATGTCCCAGAACCTGCCTTCCGTCACCCTGTACTAGGAGTGGTTCGCCCTCCTGTTGACTACCAGTGAGGTCAAGGAGGTCTTTAGCAGGGTTGGTGAGCTGTACATGAGGGTTTGGTAGGCTTTGAGTCCCCTGCTGTGGGACCCCTTTGTCCTCTGGGCTTCAGACTTGCACTGGTTACCTATAAGTATTGGTCCTCCCTGGTTCTGGCACACCAAGCGTTTAAGTCAGACTTGAGTTAAGGACATGCATTGGCAGGTTAGTAGTCTGACCCTATCACTGTTCTCTAGGAGATAATCCAGCCTCATCCTAACTGGCCTCTATTATTTAATATGTTTATCTGGTGGTGTCACCCTGCTCTTGTTTGTGTTCTGTGGCTCACTGTCACTTAGCACATTTGTGATCTGGGTCCTACCTGTCTCATTTCCACATCCAACTCATGAGCCCACATTTTCAGACCGTGCCTCTCTGCCTCACTCGGCCTTTCCCTTCCCCTCAGTAATTCCTGCATATCCCTTAAGACTCAGGACTTCCTCTGGGTTCTTTCTCTGATCCTGTATCCCTCCCAGGTATAAGTCCGGCCTTTGCCTGTTCATCAGCACTCAACTGTCTTCTTCAAGGGTATTGATCTTTTGCTGTCTCCGGCTGCTTTGTCCTGGCACCTGTGTGGCACAGAGTAGACACTTGGGAACTGTTTCTGAGATGGAAGGATAGTTGGATAGATTGGTGGATGGGCAGGTGGATGGTAAACAGGTGGATGATGGGAAATGGATGAGTGGAGAATAAATGAATGAATGGGTAGGTGTCAGATTGAATGAAGGGGCTGTATGGTCTACTGGAAAGCTCAGTGGTCCCAGGAAGTAAGCTTCAGAGCCTTGGGCAAGTCTCTGTCTGCAGTGAGCCTTGAGTTCCCCGTGTGTGAAAAAGTCTGCTCAGCTCCTGTAGCTGGCATGAAGACAGTGGGCCAGGTATGTGGGAAAATGAACATGTCGGCTTGAATGGAGCTCCTGCAGCCCTAAAAGGACTTTCCTTTTCTGAAGGTCCTGCCCAGTGTCCCTGCCCTGACTAGAGAGTTGGGGCCAGGCTTCAATGGTAAACCCAAGTCTTGCTGTTCCCAAGACATCTTTTGGCCTCTTTGGATTTAACTGTATTCTCTATAAGGTAGGGTGCTTGTGTTCCTTGTGGTTTCTCCTGACGAAAACATTGTGGCAATCATACCCAGAAAACATGGGACTTATACCCCAACTACATATAGAGTCTTATGCCCTGGTTCTGTCTCTGGGCCAACTTCACCACCCCAGCATGGTTTATATAATGCTGTTAGATCTTTCATGGAATACACAAATGCCCTAAGCCTTTTTCTGTGCTTTGTCTGCAAAAATGTGTGTAGACAAAAATGTGACTGATGCTTAGAACAGAGGCCAGTCCTGGAAGGTCCGTGAGATTGGTCATAGTGGGATGGTAACAAGGTATTTCCTTTTCCTAGTGGGCTCCCTCAATCCTGGGAGGTGGATGTTTAAGTGCTGTCCCTACTTAAAGGATGAGGAATCACAGGGCTCAGAGAGGGGTGACTCTGAGGTCACAGAGCCAGTCAGCCCCAGCGTCTTGGGTACTTGCTCTTTGTTTCCAAAGACTTGTGAGGATGCTCTGGAAAAAGCTAGCTCTAGACCACAGCAAGCTATCCAAAACCTTCCGCAGGCCTGCAGACGCAGGGCCTCCAGCCAGTCTGTCAGGTCAGTTCTGCCCAGAGTTGACGTGTGTGCCAAGACCTTGGTCAGGCTACTGCCATGAGGCCTGTGTGCCCAAACGGTGTGTCCGGCCACCCTAACAGTAGCCAGCTGGTGGGAGGATGGAGTCAGGCTTGTGTGACTCCTGGGAGTTCCTGTCTTCCTGGCCACACCTTTGCAGCCAGCAAAGACCAGTTGGGATTTCCAGCCCTTTGCCTCTGCTATAAAAAGTATGTCAATATTTACCTTTTAAAAGGATGGATAGGTCCCGGGTCTACTCAAGGCTGCTCTGACAGTTCTGTTCATATGATCTCTTTTAATCTTTACTTGCACAGGGCCCCACAGCTCAGGTTAGGGGTAGGATTTGGTCCCTTATCTCCAGTAGTCCTCACAGTTCCTAGCCTTTGGATTCACAAACCCTGGATAGCATCTGGCGCTGTACATTTTACATGTTTTGTTGGAAAGATTACCAGAGAGTGTATCACTGGGCCACACAGAAGGGAGAGGAAGGACACACAAAACCTAATAGTGCTTTTGAACACCAGCCCTGGGGTTCTGACTGCCCGGGTGGCAGCTGCCCACCTAGGAAGATCTGTGTAGACAGTGATCAGGCCCAACTCTATACCCTATGGGGGCCTTAGTATACTTTGTACCAAAGAGAGTACAGGGTATAGGAAGTTGTAACTGCTAGGCAGCCTGTCTCCATCTAGTCATGCTGAGGTAGAGGCAGGTAGCCAGAAGCCCAAAAGATGAAGCTTCACTCATATAAGCAGTTCTGGTTTTCTTCCAATTTTACTCCCATTGTTTTAATTCCTTGGCTGGACACTTCGTAGGGGACTCCAGTGCTTTCTGCTACAGGTGACTGAATTCACACAGATGACTTTGGGCTGGGACAGTGGCCACATGGAGTTTTTATTTGGATCCGTATTGCCAGAAGGTACTTCATTGAGGTAGAACTAGTTAACCTGTCCACCCCATCTGGAGAGGGCTCCCCTGTCTTCCATGTCTCACCAGCCAGGCAGAGGCAGCACCATGCCTAGATCTCCTTCATTCTCAGAAAACCAAGTGAGTGATGTCCTGATGAACACCCCCAGAGCCGGGTCTATCTGTGAAGGGAAGAGCAAAATGACTGGAAAGAGTCTAAATCCAGCACCCCTCAGGGGTGCAGTCTTACAATAGCTCTGCCAGTTGGATGCCTAGAATGTTCTACAACTCAAGAGCATGAAACATGGAACAGTTAAGCAAAGTGTCCAAGGTTACCCAGGTCTGCGTGCAAGAGCTGGGATTTGAACCCTCAGCCACTTACTGTCAGGGCTTCATCATGGAGGATATGGAGAGATTGCATCTCTCACTCACCCCAAGCCCCACGAGCTTTCTAAGTACCCTGGCTGCTTTAACCTTTGGAGCCCCTCAGGAATAGATCCAGTCTGCCATTCTCTACCAGTTATGATTTCTCCCACAAGTTTCCAAAGTGAGGCAGCTGTGGGGCAGGCCAGCTTAGCTGTGTGCAGCTGAAAAGGGGCCCTCCCCAGTAGTGATGGTCTGAAAGCCAGGGAGAGAGTTCTGGAAGGTTGGATACAGTCAGAGGCAAGGTCCAAGTGGGCCTGGTTACAGAACCAGCACACACACAGGTATTGTGTTCACTGAAACAAGGCCAGTGTTCAAAACAGTTGGATGCTGGACTCAA